TTTTTAACCCGTTCCGTAGCTCTGGAGTTTCTGCATTTCTTGAGAAAAGTAGAGACTAGTGAATAATTACCCTGTGAGTTTCATCTTTATTTGATTTTACTGCCATCTACTGGTTTAATTAAGTTTTGCATTAACTGAGGATAACTGTAAAACAACATATTATTATAATCTTTATGTTATTATATACCATCACTTAAATAATTTTACTATCTATGCATAGTGAATTATTCTAAGAAATAACTTTTCTACCTTCCCCTACCACATTTTTGACAGCCATCTTTAGCACAGTCAATTAGTTATCACAGCCAATACTCACTATTTTGCAGCTGTCTGTTTCTTTTTAAAATTATAAATATTTTCTGCCTCTAGCATTTTCTATTATGTAATTTTTAAAGCACCAGACGTCTGCAAAACAGTTAGCGCTGGTTATAACTTTACATTCTGTCCCAATGTGCATAAAGACGGCTTTCATATTTCAATATACATTAATCATACCATCTAACTATTTAAAAATGACAGTCCTAAAGGAGCACTCTAGTCACCTAAAAAACTTTAGCTAAATGAAGCAGTTTTTGTGTATAAATTATGCTTCTTAGGTTTCACTGCTCAATTCACTGTCATTTAGGAGTTAAATCACTTTTTTTCTGTTTATGCAGCCCTTACCACACCTCCCCTAGCTAGGATTGACACAGCCTGGTTTCACTTTCACTCAGATGTAATTTACCTCAAACAATTGTATCTCTTTCTCTGTAAATTGAACTTTAATCACATAGAGGAGGAGGCTCTTGAAGGATCTAGCAAGCCATTAACACAGCAGGGGATAAGAAAATCTAAATTAAACAGAACTTACAATAAAAGGAAAGATAAAGTTTAGATGACTCTATACAGGAAGTGTTTAGGAAGGCTGTGCAAGTCACATGCAGGGAGGTGTGACTGGGGTTCATAAACAAAGTGATTTAACTCCTAAATGGCAGAGAATTGAGCAGTGAGACTACTGGGACATGAGCTATACAACAAAACTGCTTAATTAAGCTAAAGTTGTTTTGGTGACTATAGTGTCCCTTTAATATATTGTTCCCAAACCCGTCTGCCCCTCTTTTCTATCCTAATGTCCCACTTTTCAACAAGTTCCGTATTCTTGGTGTCTTGGTGTATAACAGAGCACCACAGTAATAATACTCCCAGTAATGTGTCATTAACCCCTTAAGGACGCTGGACGAAAGTTTTACGTCATTGCAGCACTACCCCTAAGGACACTTGACTTCCAAAACTAAAATTAACCCCAGATTGCCACAATGGGGTTAATGTTCCTGTAGTGTGTCTCTGTGTCGGAGGCACACTACCATGGGCAGTTTCACTGATTCAGCCCATGTGATCGCTCTGACCAGGAGTCAGAGTGATCACACGTGCTGCAGTGAAACCCGATCTGTTTCCCTGCAGCTCCGTGTGAGCTGTGAACTGCAGAAAGACAGATTGGTGCTGATCTTTCTCTCTGCAATAAAAAAAGTGTTTGCAATAAAATCCCACACCCCTCTCCTCTTTCAAATAAAATTTAACCCATTCCCTGCCCTTTGATCACTGTCTGCAGTGATCAAAATACAGATCACAGTATTTCAATGTGATCTGATTTTTTTCTTTTAACCCCTGAGGGTTAACTTTTATTTATTTTTTTAATCATCAGGGGTTAAATTTATTTATTTAGTTATTTAAATACTTATAAAATATATTTATTTATTGAGCTAGGGTGGATAGAAGTTATTGGGGAAATAGGGCGTTAACAGTAAAAAAAATAATTAAAAAGTGAAAAAACTTTTTAAAAGTTTAAACAAAGTTTTAAAATAGTGAACTAAGTTGTTAAAAGCTAAAAAAACTTTTTAAAAGTTAAAAAAACTTTAAAAAGTAAAATAAATGTTTAAAAAACTTGGTACAGGCTAGCGAAAAAATAATACCACGCTTAAGTTTAAAATATGCCTTTTGAAACACCCTGGGGTGTCTTTTTTAGGAAATGGTATGCCTTCATGAAGTAATTGGCGATTACAACCTATTAAAAAAATTCCCAAGTGGGGCATGGACCCAGCCTAAAAATTTAAACTTAAATGGCTGTGTCTCAAATGTGCCTCTTCACCGTTGTCATATACCTGGTAAAGGTACATACGGGTGTATTACTGCACTCCGATGACATAGCTGAGCAACATATGATGTATTATACTGCTGTAGCACACATACGGTTTGCAAAAAATATATTACAAACTTGTGTGTGTCAAAAAGGCATAAAAATGCTTATTACCACTACACTTGGTACGGAAAAATGATTTCACGCTAAGGTTCAAAATATGCCTTTTAAAATACTCTAGGGTGTCTTCTTTAAGAAATGGTATGCCTTTATGTAGTAGTTGGAATAATTAACGTACTAAAAAAAACTCTAAAGTGGGGTATGGACCCAGCGTAAAAATTCCAAGTTTAAAAAAAAATTTAAATGGCTGTGTCTCAAATGTGCCCCTTCAACGTCCACATATACCTGGCAAAGGTACATGCGGGGGTATTGCTGTGCTCAGACGACATAGCTGAACAACATATGAAGTATTATAGACCCGTAGCACACATAAGGTTTGCAAAATATACAGTACAAACTCACTGTGTGTGTCAAAAAGGCAGAAAAATTGCTTATTACCATTACACTTGGTACAAGCTAGCGGAAAAATTATCCCACGCTAAAGTTCAAACTTTGCCTTTTGAAATACCCTTGGGTGTCTTCTTTAAGATATCGTATGCCTTTTTGGGGTAGTTGGAAAATGCAGCCTGCTAACAAATTTCAAAATAGAATACGGATCCATTAAAACCCTCCATGTAAATTTACACTTAAAAACCTGAACTTGTCATGTCTCTTTTACAGCACTGTAACTTAACAAAATAGTGTCTAGGTCATACATTGGGCATATTATTTTACTCAGAAGAGGTAAATGAGCATACTTAGGGGGAATTTATGACAGTGGCACTTATCAAATGTAAGAAATACCCAGTGAAAATGCAACATGTATGTAAAAAAATAAAAATGTCACCACAAAATTTGAAATAAATTGGTGAAAAAAGTTAAGGTATAATATATGCCTAATAAGATACCCTGGAGTGTCTGCTTTCTCAAATGGAAGGCCTTTGTGGGGTTATTTGAACAGTCAAATGGCTATAATGCCACAAAATAAGACATATGACCATCCATACAAATTCCAACTACAGACACTGAAATAGCATGGTCTCCTATATGGCATTGTAGCTTCACAGAATAGGGGCAAAGGTATACAATGAGGGTATCGTCGTACTCAGCAGGTGTAGCTGAACACAATATGGGGTTCTGTGCAGGAATAGCACACACCAGCTTTACGAAATACACATTACAAAAACCTTGTTATATGTGTATATACCAAAATAGAGAAAAAACACAATTTTACTCCAATATTTAGCAGAGATTGGCGGTAAAATGGCTATGTAAAAAGTGTCAAAATAACCTTAGGTAAATAGCCTGTGATGTCTACTTTATATAAATATATACTTTTCATAGGCGTGCGCAGCCTATTGCATTAGGGTGTGCACCCTAAAGCACAAACACATGCTGCGTGTATATGTATGTGTGTATGTGTTGTCTTGTTGTCCTTTGACCCTGAGGAAGGTCCCGAGTGGGGACCGAAATGTTGGTCGTTATTTTTAATATTACTTAATAAATTTTAGTTTTAAAGTCCGGAGAGCAGCCTGCCTTGTTGGATTCTTTATCTATGGAGCTCAGGTGATGCGCCCGGTATTGGAACATTTTTTTAAGCGTGAGTGCAGGGGATTATTGCATTTGTGTGTGTGTGTATATATATAATGTGTGTGTGTATATATATATATATATATATATATATATATTTACACACACATACATACACTGCTGTGTTTGTGTGCTGTTAGCGTGCTGTGTGTGTGAGGGTGCTGGTAGTGTGCTATGTGGGTGAGGGTGTTTGTGTGTGTGAGGGTGCTGTGAGTGTGCTGTTTGTGTGCTGTGTGTGTGAGGGTGCTGTGTGTGTTTGAGAGTGCTGTTAGTGTGCTGTGTGTGTGAGGGTTCTGTGTGTGGGTGGGTGCTGTTTGTGTGCTGTGTGTGTGAGGGTGCTGTGTGTGTACTGTATGTTTGGGTGATTGTGGGGTGGAGGTGTCAATCCATAGGCGTGCCGCGGGGATTAGGGTTTGCCCAGGCACACCCCGTGCGCACGCCTGTGATACTTTTGTGTGGCAATTTTGTTTTCTGTAATGGGTATTAAACTTCCAAGACAAACATACCAACTTCTAAAATTGTTTCACATTAACATTTTATTTTAGTCCTTGTATTTTGTGACCTGTAACTTTCAAAATAAACTGAAATCCTACACATATGCGCTTTGTAAATCAAGACACATAAATGAATTGATTTTGCTGGACATATTATGCACACATTATTATTGCCAAAACATGGGGGGAAAAAAGCATTTTTTTGTTTTTTTCCATTTCTTTTCTTTTTTGTAATAAGTGAGAATTTATAAATGTATATGTCACATCAAATTAAAGCCCCTTTTGTTGTCTAAAAAACTGTGTATAATATGTTATGGTAAAATAAATTAGAGAGATGCAAATTGCAGTTGAATACAAACAGAAAAAAATGCAAAAATTGCTTGTATCCTTAAGGGTATGTTCAGCTTCTGAAGCTGTGTCCTTAAGGGGTTAAAAATGCTCCTAATTGTTACTTATAGCAGCACGAAAGGTAAATAAATATATAAATCAACGCTCGCAATGCTACAGTAAAAAATTATTTCATTGCCCTTATCAAAAATGGCGATTAATGACATATTAGGGCGTGACGTCACTTCCGTTTTCTCAGACAGAACGTTCATGTTGTAGAGCCACACGCTTCCTCTCGCACTCTTGCCATAACCCCGCCCACCGCCGCGGTCCTTCACCGGGATTGGTTCGAAGTTTTTGGCGCTAGTCTTTGGACCAATCAGGGCGCGGCTGGAGGGTTGCCCGAGGATGAGTTTGGCGGGAAAATACTTTTTTCGCGCCACTCGCAGCGGAGAGGACGGAAGGAAGGAGGCGGCAGAGACCCAGCGCTGATTCCCCCTCACAGACCGAGAGCAGAGCTTTAACCCAGTCTGATCGCCATGGCCGGAGCCGGGACGGAGCTGGATGACCAGGAGATGAGGGAAGCCCAGAGGGAATACCTGGACTTCCTCGATGATGAGGTGAGGGAGCTCTCTGTGGGCCCCTGAGGGCCACATTAACCACCAGAGCTCTGTGTGGGCCCCTGAGGGCCACATTAACCGCCAGAGCTCTGTGTGGGCCCCTGAGGGCCACATTAACCGCCAGAGCTGTGTGTGGGCCCCTGTGGGCCACATTAACCGCCAGAGCTCTGTGTGGGCCCCTGGGGGCCACATTAACCACCAGAGCTCTGTGTGGGCCCCTGAGGGCCACATTAACCACCAGAGCTCTTTGTGGGCCCCTGGGGGCCACATTAACCACCAGAGCTGCGTGTGGGCCCCTGGGGGCCACATTAACCACCAGAGCTGCGTGTGGGCCCCTGGGGGCCACATTAACCACCAGAGCTGCGTGTGGGCCCCTGGGGGCCACATTAACCACCAGAGCTGCGTGTGGGCCCCTGGGGGCCACATTAACCACCAATGCAGACAGCTTCAAGTAACCCCAGTGATGGGGGATGGAAGGTGCTATTTCAGCTGTGAGTTTGGCTGAGATTCCTGGGAGTCGTAGTTCTACGTTATAAGGATTTACCTTGTAGCCACCAATATGAACAATACACTGAGAGCAAGCAGCCTGTCACCAACTCAGAGCTCAATAAAGGGGCTTTAATCTGGGACTGAGTGCTGGAGAAGAGCATCATGGGTAATGTAGTCTTGAAGCTGGCTTGTGGGAAGTTTAGTTATTGTGTGAGGGCATATTCTGTATAGCTGGGTGTCTGCCAGAGCTTCTTCTATAGTTAGATCTTCAGCTTCATGTGACCATTGTGTTATTTTGGGCTTCTTTGTGAAGATCAAATCTGGGTTAAATAAACGATAAATAGATATATATTATTTTCAAGTATGCCATTTAATTAGCGCCAACAGATTCCGTAGCGTTTTACAATATTATGAGGGGGGGGGGATTTAACTATAAATAGGACAATTACAAGAAAACTAACAGGAACAATATGTTGAAGAGGACCCAGCTCAAACGAGCTTACAGTCTATAGGAGGGTGTGTGTGTGTGTGTGTGTGTGTGTATATGTGTGTGTATATATATATATATATATATATATTTTCTCACTGTAAAAACTAATGGAATGTGTTATGGGCCCCTTTGTGTAATATTGCTGAATGACATAGATCAGTGGGCATACAGGCTTTCAAATTTAAATTATAATCCTGATTACATGTATGAAATGTAGAGCATCTGTGGTAAATATCAGGTTAAGAGCCTTAAAGATAAACAATATATCTATATCCACATAGTTATGTAAAGCTAAAATGCAAATCAGTATAGTCCAACTGATCTATTTGAAGCTTGCTGTCTGGTAATATGAGGGTTAATGGGCAAACGTGTATGCTCAGCAGTATAATTGTTTGTAAGGTTTTCAAGGCTAGCAGTTGTGTGAAGAATAGTTACCCTCCTCCCAATTAGAATAGTCTAGTTTTCTGTTAGAATAGGCAAATAATGGCATTTGCTAATGATGCCAAGGTAAAATTCTCTTTATTTTTTTTTTCTTCTTCTACTATTATATAATATATCTTATTTGCTGTTTGTTTGGATAACCAATCTAAAAAAGAGGTAGTAACTGTGACTAGAACAGATCAATGTGGTCTCACCTGCCTTTTAATTTGGACACACCAAGCCTGTACAAGCAAGTCATCTTTGATCACATCAGTTGGCCTGGTTATGGGTTCCCCTGGAACCCTGGTTTAGGATCAGAATGATCCAAAATTATCAAGACAAGTGCAACCTTCGTTATAACACTATAACTACTACACTGTGCTGTGGTGTTTACAATGGCTTCAAATTTAATAATCTGTTTTCTATGTTGGTTGTAAAGTTACTTCAATCCACTCCACCCCACAAGAATAGTGCAAATGAAATTGTGTTTATTTTTATGAAATGCCTAACAGTCTGTTTAATTTTACATTTCCTCCTCTCAGGAAGATCAAGGGATTTACCAGAGTAAAGTGAGGGACATGATCAACGAGAATCAAAATCGATTGATTGTAAACATCAATGATCTCCGGAGGAAGAATGAAAAACGATCCACTCAGTGAGTATTTCAAGGGAGGGAGCTAGAGGTGAAGCCTACTCTGCTTTTAATCTAATGGAACACTCAAAGCACCTGTGGGGGTTATGGTGCTTGGTGTGTTCATTAGTAGTTTTAGTACGTTTCAGAGGAGCGTTCATTTCTAAGTTCTGTGTTTCGTGAAGATACAACTGGCAAAGCATCTTGGGAGTAGTAGTTCTATAATAGTTGAATCTGTTTCTTAGCTGCCACTGTTTTATGTTCAGTTATAAATAGTGGATGCATGTTACACTTTTTTTGAGAAACATGCAGTACTTTCTGCAAAAATAACGTATCTATTGAAATGCATAGTAGTTGATTTGGCTTGTAAGATTCATTTTTGTGCCGTACGTGCTTTAGAGCAGAGTCAGACACATAGCTATATGGCACCTTACCTCTTGTATCACTGATTTATCCCCACGGACATGTCTGTTAAAGTATACTTGCATATGTCTCCTACATTTTAGTGAAAGCTTGATACTCAAGGACAGAGCATGTATTTTTTTCTAGTTAATGTGAAACCTAGGTGTTGGCAAATGACTACCAAGTAGTACTACAGGTAAGCACGTATAAATAAAGGGACACTATAACATACTTTTAAGGAACACTTTTCTAAAGCATTTTAATGGCCCGTATTCTTTCACAGGACATAATTAAGCTACATTTTAAAAATGACTGCCGGGGTGTAGGGCCATTGCATACTAACTACTTTATTTAGGTAAAGTGGTTATTATGTATAATGAGTTTGTTTACCAATCTACATCTTTATGTAGTCTGATATTATATTGATTTGGGAAATAACTTTTTCTCTGTATGCACAGGCTTATGAATAATGCCTTCGAGGGGCTCATTGCTTTCCAGCGGGCTTTGAAGGAGTTTGTTGCATCTATTGATGGCACATACGCCAAACAATACGAAGACTTTTATATTGGTCTAGAGGGCAGCTTTGGCTCCAAACATGTCACCCCTCGCACCCTGACTTCGCGTTTTCTGGGCTCTGTTGTCTGCGTGGAAGGCATTGTCACAAAGTGTGAGTATCATCAGTTGACTCCTGCCTTGAATTCTCATGGCGTGGTGGTAATGTTACTTACCATGCAACTCTCTACACAGGCTCCTTGGTACGACCCAAAGTAGTTCGCAGTGTCCATTATTGTCCAGCTACAAAGAAAACAATAGAACGCAAGTATACAGATATGACCAGTCTAGAAGCATTTCCTTCCAGTGCCATCTATCCTACCAAGGATGAAGAAAACAACCCTCTGGAAACAGAATATGGCCTTTCAATATACAAAGATCATCAAACCATTACCATCCAGGAAATGCCTGAGAAGGCACCAGCTGGGCAATTGCCACGTTCTGTGGACATCATATTGGATGATGACCTTGTTGACAAAGTGAAGCCTGGAGACCGTGTGCAGGTCATAGGGACATATCGCTGCCTTCCCTCAAAACAAAATGGCTACACGTCTGCATCATTCAGGTGTATTTTATAAACTTTAACTATTATTTCACTTGGAGGCTTTCCTCCTCTTATATCAACCCCTTCCCCACCAAAAAAATGGTTCCCTGTTCATCAAATGGATAGTATAAGTAACAACTGTGGTGCATGTGGTCTCCCCTCTTCAGAAACACAAGGGACCCAGTGTTTAAGTGTAATCTCATACCCAAGCGGTGGGGTCCTGGTACTGCTGGCAACAACTACAGTGTGCTCTAGTGGTGTTGCTCAGACTGCCTGTCTTAATGTGGCATATCTTCTGTTATATCTTATTTCTCAAATGTATTCTTTTCCTCTTGGTTTTAGGACTATTCTGATAGCCTGTAATGTGATACAAGTGAGCAAGGAAGTATCGCCTGTTTTCTCAGCAGACGATTTGGCTAAAATAAAGAAATTCAGCAAAACGCATTCTAAGGTAGAGTACAAATCTAACTTTCCATATTTGGTGATAATGCATCAGAAGGTTTTATTTCTTATTTCATTGTTGGTCTGTAGTCTGCACACTGGGCTTCTTGGCCTCTTTCTCTAAATTCTGGGCTTATTGATCCCATAGCTTTGCAGTGAAATCATGCATAAAAAGCAAACCAAGGTCTTGCCTTAACCATTGCTATATCCAAAAGTTGCTGGATGCTTAGAGGTTTCCTTTAACACAATTTCAATGTAAAAATAAATCCGAATATGGCTAAACTAACTGTTGGGGACAATTGATTTCCCCAGTGCTTTGCAACCTTACAGGTTATGTGGTTAATCATCAGAGCTATTGCCTACATTTAGCAAACCTCAGACTGTTATTGTATAATATGTCGCATTCTTTCTCCAGGATGTTTTTGAGCAGCTCTCTAGATCGCTTGCTCCAAGTATACATGGACACAACTACATCAAGAAGGCGATCCTCTGCATGCTACTTGGAGGTGTAGAAAAGGTTTTGGAAAATGGGTCCCGCATCAGAGGGGATATTAACGTCTTGCTTATTGGTAGGCTTACAGGGTGACTGCTTTTAACAAATTGATTTGAAAGTTAACATTTGATGCTGATGTCAGAGGGCTGGAAAGCCAACTGTAAAAGGAAGGAAATTAATCCCTCGCAATACTATAATTGATATCTCCATTGGAAAAACCTTAAAGTAACCAGTAACACTGACTTCATGTCAAGAAACTTCTTATTTAGTCTGTCTTGTATATTATATGTTTATCAGTTATGGTCTGTGATTGGTCATATATCAAGAATTATTACATGGGTATGCACTGTAGAGTTATTATTGGAATCTTAGTGCCAACAAACTCCGCAAAATTCTAGAAGTATTACGTTTAACAACAAATGAGACAAACTTACAGATTTTGAGCTGAACAATTGGCTGATGAGGACCCTACTCAAACAAGCTTACAATCTAGAGGATTGTGGATGTAATATTTTATTTTTCTGTTTCCAGGGGATCCCTCTGTTGCCAAGTCTCAACTTCTCCGGTATGTGCTTTGCACTGCTCCCCGCGCCATAACTACAACTGGCAGAGGATCCTCAGGTGTAGGTTTAACTGCAGCAGTTACCACAGACCAAGAGACTGGTAAGTTAATTGGCATTTTGGAAAAGGTCAAACTTTCTTTACACAATGAAAATTATTTGGCAAACAATTTCCTAGTTTTGTAGACCTTTTTTTTTATTTTATTTTTTTTAATTTTTTTCTCTTAAAATTTTAAGTAGATGTTTTATGGTGTGTGTGTGTGTGTGTGGTTTTTATTTTTTTTGGACAGTTTACCCAAATTGAAAATAATCTCAAAGTCAGTTATTTCCAATTGCACTGGTTAGGCCTTGCATTTAAAATTCACTGTGTTTTTGGCAATTCTTACTGACTAACTCTGTGTTGTCTTGCACTTGAAAGCTTTATCTTCTGAGATTCAAGAGGTAACTGTGTGTAGTTTGAAGACAAGACATTACTTTTTCATTGTTCCCTACGGGGATGTTCATACGCATTCCTCAAATATGAGAACTGTTCAAAATAATTTTCTTTGCTTGCCATAAATTCATATTTCCCAATTATTTGAGGCAGTGCTGGTTTCCCTCCCAATGGATTTTAAAATTTAAGTATAATTTGGTGGTTTGTGTTTGGGGCCTTTCCTCATAGGAGAAGAGATACCTGGAGGGTGGGACAATATTTCATATATTGCTACAGCTGCCTGTTTCTGTTGGTAAATCTCAAATAATTAGGAGAGAGTTTATTTAACAAAAAAAAAAAATACCATGTGTTTTGTGTAGGGGAAAGAAGGCTGGAAGCTGGTGCCATGGTGTTGGCGGACAGAGGTGTCGTCTGTATTGATGAGTTTGACAAAATGTCCGATATGGATCGTACAGCCATCCATGAAGTCATGGAACAAGGGCGAGTAACTATTGCCAAAGCTGGCATTCATGCCCGCCTAAATGCTCGGTGCAGTGTGCTGGCAGCTGCTAACCCAGTCTATGGAAGGGTGAGTAGAATATATTATCCCACGATCAACCTAAAATGCATAATTGTGGCTTATATTGGTCAACAGCAATTCTTTCTGGAGTGTTTTTTAGGACAAAGTGGCTGTCGTGTGTGTGTGTGTGTTGTATACTTTTTTTTTTTTTATGTATGTATGTATGTATGTATGTATGTACCCAAGGAAAAGTAGTGTCTGCTTTCTTTATGTATTTTATGAAGTCCAGAGCACTCATGGGGGAAAAAATTTTAATCTGACACCGAAGTAAATTACTATGCAGTTCATGTCCTGTGCTACTCATGTACTTGCTGTACATCAGTTTGTATGGCTTGGTTTTATTAAGGCAACAGATGTGCATCGTGCCATTTTAATGTCTCCTATTTTCTACCTTTTTAGTATGACCAATATAAAAATCCCATGGAGAACATTGGTCTCCAGGACTCCCTGCTGTCACGTTTTGATCTTCTCTTCATTATGCTGGATCAGATGGACCCAGAGCAAGATCGTGAAATCTCAGACCATGTATTGCGCATGCATAGGTATAGAGGAGCTGGAGAGCAAGACGGTGATGGTGAGTAGAAATGCACAAATGTTGGATCTCTAAACCCACCCCAAAAAAGCAGAACTGCAGATTGTTTATGGCTATGGTTTAGTTACAAATATTGTTTAAAACTGACATTAACAAGTTACTTGCTGGCGCAGATCTTCTCCCTCGCAGTCAGCGCACTTGCAAGAAGTTGTTTAGTTTACCCTTCATTTAGGTGTTGGGGACACGCTCTGATCCAACAAAACTGTCCAATGAATTCTTCTTTAGTATTCTAGCCAGTTGGACTCTATAAAAAGCCATTGTTTTCCCTCCATCTTAATTTATAAATGTTTTATTCTCAGCAATGCCTCTGGGGAGCGCTGTGGATATTCTTGCCACAAATGATCCTAATGTCACTCATGAGGAGCAGCAAGAACTTCAAGTCTATGAGAAACATGACAATCTCCTCCATGGTACTAAAAGGAAGCGGTAAGATGGCTTCCCAGTATATAACATAATGGAGTTACATATTCTGAAATCTGTCTGGTTATTAGTTGTAATATAACTCTAACAGGTGCGGTATTTCTAATATCTGATCTAGTACTACATACACAGAAAAAGGATGGCATTATGCTTGGTTAACCCATACAATGAAATATGCTCCTTTCTCTTCTATATTGGCCTGTGCTCCCAAGAGAAAACCCGCAATTACATCTTTCTTATGATTTTAAAATACAGCTTTTTTTTTTTTTTTTTTTTGATCTTCTGGTAAATTGCATATTTCCATTGTATGGAAATAATCTTTCTCTTGCTTCTAGGGAGAAGATTGTCAGCATGGACTTTATGAGGAAATATATACATGTTGCCAAAATATTTAAGCCTGCATTGACCTCAGAGGCTGCTGCTTACATTGCGGAGGAATATTCACGATTGAGAAATCAAGACCAGATAAGCAGTGATGTGGCTAGAGTAAGTATAGTGGAATATTGTTGTGCTCCATTTGGAACTGTATGTCTTTGTCATATAGCTCTTGGATGCATTTAGTATTTCTTGTGTTTGACATTATTTAAAATGAATCTGTAGGTCTTTGGGTTTTATAGAACTACAACCCATGATGCTTTGGACATAGTATTGCTGGCAATACTACAACTGTGAGCTACTATGAAGCGTTTTTTTTTTCTCCAATATACTAACTGACACATTTGTTTTCACAGACCTCCCCAGTCACTGCACGTACTCTGGAGACGTTGATCCGTCTGTCTACAGCCCATGCAAAAGTTAGAATGAGTAAAACTGTTGAGCTAAAAGATGCCGAAGCCGCTGTCGAACTTGTACAATATGCTTACTTCAAGAAGGTGAGGATACATGGGTGGGGTAGGTCTGGTTTTGTAAAAAAAACAAAAAAAACTTTGCATTGCACTTTAAATTGATTCTGCAGAGTTAAGCCAATGCAACTCTTTACTTTGGTCTGTGCTTGTTTTAATTTAAACTGAAAATTTCTACCATAGTGATGTTCTTGGGCAGGATGTTTGGATATTGTTTTTTACTGTTGGGCAAGTGTAGAATTATGTGTCAAATAAGTTTTTTTCCTATCTCCCAACTGATCAGCATTTGATTTTCAGGTACTTGAGAAAGAGAAGAAACGGAAAAAGCAGGGTGGTGGCTCAGACACAGAAGGAGAGGAGGAGGTATCAGCACAGACTGATGCTGAAGCGAGGAAAAAACGGTGAGTCCTGTGAACATAGCTTCTTCTTTGAAGTGCCACTTTCACTTATCATTTTTAGGCCATTACATTGTAGGCAATGGTTTATACCATGTGAGGAGCAAGATGAGGAGAGGTGATCCCTTTTTTTGGGAAAGTTAAGGGAACACACTTTCACTGTCATTTGAGACTTCTTAAAATGGGTCTTAAGAGACCGGAGAGGCCTTGTAAAGCTTGTGCTTTTACACTCCAATCATATAGTGTTCAGTGAAAGTATGACTGCGCAATGTATTGTGCAGCTATACCAGTTGTAAGTGATAACGAATTGTGTAATTCTACACAGAGTACACTATTTCATATAACTATGTACTGTGTATTAACTTGGTTCTTAGGACTTTCACAAGGGCACAGCAACCCTGTAAATTTTGTACATAGAACATGGTTATTTTGATTACTTTTTAAAATTTATTTTATTTAACCAATCACCCAATGCTTATCCAATGCCAAGATGTTCATATGTGTATTTGAACATACATTATCAACAATAGAGATGTATAGATTTAGAGAGACATAGATATTCCAGTTTTAAACTTTTTTTTTTTTTTAACAGGAGAACTTCCCGTGCCAAGGATGGGGAACAGCCTGACCCGTATGAGTTTAGTGATTCGGAGGACACTACTGGTAGGCATTTATGAACATGTTACTTTCATGTGCTGACTTCATATGTTTACTCTACAAGCTAGCTAGTTTTCCATAGCTCTGGTTCTCAAAATGTGTCCCTTATTATATTTGCTACAGTTTTTAAAGGACCTGGCAACTGTAGTTGCTTGTGTTATAATTAGAGACAAAGCTGACATCTGAGCAATAAATGCTTTAGGATAAATAATATTTGAATGTGTCTTAGGAACCTGTGGAATGGTAGTACTATTCTCTTCTCACATTTGGAAATCTTAAAATGTATTTTTGTTTAATGTGATACAGTTCAGGTCCATACACCAAAGACCCCTGACGCAGGTCGTGAGAAAATGGAAACCGATGCAGATTCCTCTAAACCAAGCTTATCTGGAGACAGGCAAGTGCCATTTGGATTTCACCCAATTATGCTACATTATTTTATTACATTCTTTCTTTATGACAGTATGTTTGGAGCCATTGAGACTTTGAGATTTTATATCTCTAATCTCCCAACATGAGTAAGACAAATATAGGCATCCTTATGCAAACGAGGAGTGAAATGAATGGGATAGGTAAAAGAAAACAAGGAAATTGATTAAGGGTGGTGGACGGAGAATGTTGGTGCACAGGTGGAGTTGGTAGGTTCTGAAGCCAGGCATTTTAATTCAGTCAAAAAGTGTTGTTTTTCTGATCAACTACACTATGATTAGTTTTTGTCTATTTATTTTTTTTTCCCTTTTTTTTTATGTAACTCTTCTCCTCTTTCAGACTTAAAGCTTTCAAGGCTGCTCTTCTGGATGCCTTTAAGGCTGCACATGCACAATCTATAGCCATGCCAGCACTGATGGATGCCATAAACAAGAACAATGAGTCCCCCTTCTCTCAAGGGGAGGTGAAAGCCGCTCTGGAACTTATGGAAGATGCCAACCATATTATGGTTTCTGAAAACATAGTTTTCTTAATCTGATCTTTTTAATGCACCATGTTTTACAGCCTCAAAGCATGGTTTAATGTGTAGAGGTCACAGCCAGAGATTAGCAATCTCTGAAAACATTTTGGCTTATTTTACAAGCTGCCTAGATAGCCTTCGTATTTCACACTTCACTATCTTAATCGATTTCCTAAACCAGGGAAAATGACCATCTCTCAAAAATGATAGTTTGGGTTTCTACATACACTTTTTGTATGTTTCTGCAACTGGTTACTCTAAAACTTTTTTTTTTTTTTCTCCTTTTAAAATGGCTCCAATTTTTATTGTAAATAGTTTTACAAAGTCTTTTTTTAATTGTGCCTAAAATGCAGATCTTCAAGTTATAGTTGGTTCACCCTGTTCTAGTCCCTCTAGTGTAGAAAATACCTTTTCTATATCTCAAATTGATGTCCATGACTTTACAGAATTTAAATTTATTTTATCTCAAGATTAGAGATATCTTGGCATGGTTTAAATGAGCAATATTTAATTATCTTTTTAAATATTGTAAACCATTTTACATTGTTACTACTTATTTGCCTGCCATATAGTGATGCTTAAATATACTGGACAGTTCTACTCAACTACAAAGTATGCGTCATTCTACCAGAAAATCACAAACACACTTGCTTTTGGTCATTTTTATACTTGTGGATGTGATGCATGTTTTAAAATATGCAATAAATATCTTTCTGTATATTCGTGTTTATTTTAATATATAAATATACTGCATATTTGTCAAGTAGCACAAGACAAGATTGCACCTGTCTTAGTGTATTGTCACCGCTGAATGTCAAATATTATCTTGCATTTTCTTAAAGGGATATATCTACAAACAAATTCTCCAGCAATTACATTTATAAACCAACAAAGCTTTACCTGGCTACAGACTTAACAGTAGTGTGACATTACACCATAGGAACTGTGTATATAGAACTTGTAATAAAGTAACACTCTAGGAAACAGAATCACATTACATTCTGCCCAGATGCCTTGTCTTTCCGGGGAACAGTGTCTTCTAATCCAAGCAGTGTAACTATCATTTTGCTAAGTGCACACAAGGCATAGCGTGCTGACTCGTCACTCAGTATAAATACCATAGTTACTTTAATAGCACATTAAAAACCTTTGCAATATCGTTTGACATGACTTGTGCTAGTGCAAATCAGGTACAATGCTCCACGAAAAGTCTTCATTCAAATGATATTTAAAGAAAAAGGGAAAAAAAAAAAAGCTTGCTGACCATTCCAAGGTGTTGGAGAAAGGGAACAAATCCAAAATCCTGGTGCTATGAGATCTACTTTAAAGGGTTGCTGCATGTGGTAACTATGTTTAGAGTATCCTGGTGCTGTTGTCTGGTAATGGGGCGAACAGTGTGTCATGCCCTGTATAAATATAATAAAGTTTGAAATTCCCCTTTGGGCAAGTTTACAAACTCTGCCCTGGCTAGTGTGCTTTTTATATACACTCTCTTGGTTCAGTGGCAAATAAGTAGAGTGAAACTTGAAACCCTGCACTGAAGGAACACTCCACGAACAGAAAGCAAGTATATCTGCTGAATTGCGATTTGGCTGGAGACTCCCAAACAGCAAGGAGGGGAGGGGAGGGGGGTTCTTCACCGTCCATTAGCTTAACAGAGCTAACAGAAGTGGTGGACCTGCTGTACTAGCACACCTGTGTTACCCTTCTCAATAAGCCTCTGGTTTATTCTCTATCACAGACTGAAAGCTTGCAAGGATGCAGACAATATCTGCAGCTTTTGCAATATATATATAAATCGCACTCTTCCCTGCCTTATCCCCCCCATATGATAAAATGCATGTTTGTTTTTACTGGTGCGTAAATCTGTTACATTGCAATTTAAATGAAATAAAATTGGGGCAATAAGTGTTCCTTTAAAGATCAAAGCGTACACTAGTTTAAGTGCCCCCTAGGTGCACCTTCCAGTGGAGAGATCTAGAACAGATTCCCTCCACTTGCTATGTTCAGTGATGTTATAGGGGCAGAGTTCATAACAATGACTAAAGAGGCCAAGAGAAAACCACTCCAAACCAGAAAAGAGACGTCTGCTTTCCTACATTTTAACGTTTAATTTTCAGACCTCTCCTATACATGTTTGTTAAATATAACGTGTACATATAAAATTATAATAAACCTAATATTAAAATCCATCTTGTTGGCTTTATTGCCAGCACTTTACCATGCTCAGTCCCAATCACATTTGGTATCACTCCATTGCTTGCATTGAGAAATGAAAACCATAAATCGAATAAGCAAACTGGTAAGGGAACAGCACATTAGGCCACAATTATCAAGCTAGGAAAATTGCTGAGTTGATTTCCCCCACCATTCCTTAAAATTGTCTACCCTGTCAATTCTCTCAGTATAAAGTATTCGTAGTAATCTGAGTATATAGAATATCATGTGTTAATTATCCCAACTTAAGTTAACTGCATGGACAAGTAGTTTTTTTTTTTTAACTAAAAGAATATTCATCACGAGTCTGTAAAGATACATTTATTCAGTCCATAAATATATTTACATTCATCACTGTTAACACTTTCTATAGCATGGCAAATAATTCAAATATATGGCTGCGTTGATTGCACAAATTTGTGTTACTTTTCATTGTAGTAAAGTGTCAAAGTAACCTGACAGTATCAGCACAACCTCGCCTACTTAATCTATTCTTGATACATTTTTATAATTAGATTAAATTCTAAGAAATATACAGCATTTTGCTTGTGTAAACAGAAAATGCAATGTGTAGTCACGAAACCCACTTAAACCAATTTAGGCTGTAAGCCAACTGGCAGGGCTGTCAAAACATTTAGCGAAGGCTCACTCTAACGTAACAGCTGCAATTTGTAAAATTACTCTGGCAAGCTAGCTGGGAGATGAAATTCCATATACATACATGTCCTAACTATTGTGTCTATAATATAAACCGTGAGTATCCTTTAAAAATGCATTACTACCTTCAAATTACTGAGCTGCTTATGTGTTATCTTGCCAATCATGACTAGTCACTGAATTGTGATTTGTTGCAAATTAAAATCCAAAATTGAAAAATTGTGTGGCCACAATGGCCAAGCAGTGACTATAGGGAAGTTGGATAATTTTCCCTGATCAGCAATTTTAGTCTTAATTCTATCCCTATTTCATGACTCCAGAAGTAGCATATGGGAATCAGTTTTGGGCAGCTATTTTAATCCATAGAGTGTGTAATTGGGCGTTTAATTAACAGACTGTGGCACATAAATATTTTCTTACCTAAAATTTGAAAATTGTTGACAAAACACACTTTTTAGCCCAACATTGCATTATCAGTTCTGCAAAATTAAGTTCAGTGAATAGACATGTTCATTTATCGATGGTTCCTCTGAAAGTGATCATCAAATTAAGTTTGTTCTAGAAAATTGTTAGGGTTCAGTGGATTCAAGTGTCGGCTAATTAACTGTTCATCCCTGGAGATGTATGTTTAATACCTGGCATGGTCAAATCAGCCTTTATTATCAGCATAATATCATGAAAACTATTCAATTGTATATCTAAACCTGACAGTACTTTGAGTGCAAATGGGATGAAAAATACTAAATACGTTATTTTATCAGAAGAAACATAAAATGGATTTTATCATAGTGATGGGTTTGTCCATGTTAAAATGATTGCATTTATTCAGCTCGGTTTTTTTTTTTACTCCAGAACTTTGGAAAGTCGATCAGTTAATTTTCTCAATAATGCGTGGATTGACACACGTGCATCCAACGGTCATCATTGCAGAATGCAGAGTAAAGAAACCCTTTTCTTTCTTGAGATATATGATTTCTCTATCTATTGCCACTGCATTCAATAAAGTCTCGAAGCCAACGCACTGTTTAGAGCAAGTGATCTTGGGAATTGTTGTTGGGATTGTTTGCCCTTTAGAATTTGACCTGCAGAGATATAGTGCTGATTAGTCATGTTTCATAGCAATATTTGTCTTACAAGTGTGGTATCGTAGGTATAAGCAGTTGCATGGATCACATTTCTGCGACCCAAAGTCAGTAGGAAGCAGGGAGGTTGAAAAAAAACAAACAAACATTGAACCAGATAGTTTTACTGTGGTGTCGAATGGAGCATCTGCCTAAATCCCAAGTATTTCAAATGCTTCTTTTACACAACAAACTGCATTCTAAATTCTGATCTTTAGAGGCCTGGCCTATTCTACACTGAGCCCAGTTTGTATATACCACATACATACCACATTTAAGAAGGTAAGAAGGGTCTTTAGCCCACTGTGAGTGATTGTATGACAGGTGGACCCCTATCTTGTCTGCAGGCAGAGAGCTTCACTACCCTACTGTGCTATGTTTGTACAGTGGTGAAATTACATTGGTAAAGGTGCAAAGAAGAAGAGGCGCTGCAATATTTGCTGGCACTATATAAATAATAACATTTAAATAATACAGTACAAAGAGGTTTATAGACAGTGAAAATATAAAACAAAGAGAGACCAAAAAAAATAAATAAATGTGAAAGCCAGTTACAGACAGGACAGGATGACTATATGGCCCTTTTATTCTAATAATCTGGTACTGGTAGTCTGATGTGTATGCAGAGGTCATAAGTTAAATGTCACAGATATGGAGGAGCTAATTACAGAAACTTACACTATTGTCCATGGAACAATGGATCGGTTCTCCAGGTTTGCTATACTGTTTTGGTAAGATGTTCCGTCACTGGACTTATTTAGTAACTTTACAAGGATGCAGTCTTTACAGTCTGTCTTCTGTTTTTGACACCTTGCCTTCTTTGAGGACGTTGAATTTTTAGCTGCTTGCGTCACATGGGTGATCAATATAAGAGTAAGGAGAGGCAGGACCTTAGGAAACAATTTTTAAAAGATCTTAGTACTTTCTTCACAGGTGCTCGCTATGATAGACATCTAAGACGACTGCGACAGTGAGCCATCGATGGAAACTCCTACATATTACTATTGCATCAGGAATGCCACATTTACATTTGAGTGCAAAACATTCCCGTGACCCAAAATACAAGAAATCTATTATATTTTTTGTAGCATTACTTGTACAATACATTTATTCAGAGACATTTACACAGATTAGTCATTATTCATCTATTAATTAATACTCTTAACAAAAGAGAGAGAATTGGGTAAAATCAGACAATATAAAGCGGGAACTAGGGGAAGAGGTCAAGGTGTTGGGTAGAAAGGTCCAAAGTTAGGGCTGAGTGGGAGTGAAAATGTTGCTTATTTATAAAAGGGGAGAGCTAACTGCGTCTCCTGCAAATCCTAACCTCATAATAAAGTGGTTTATTCACTAGAGGCAATGCTGAAACCTGAGTTGGAAATTTAAAGATCTAAAATAGCAACGTTGTGCCTATAACTGAGTTCTTCCAAATTTGTTTCAAATTCTTGCAGTTTTTAATTCACTGCAATTCTGTTTTTTTTTTTTTTTAATAAAGCACACACATGATTAAATGTCATGCATAAAATTATCTATTTACCTATTTCCCGTAGTATGTAAATCCATAAATGTATGCTGTTTAATATATTTGTTGTGTTGATGGGATATAGTTATTAATTGTCTACCCCAATAAATCTTAATTGACTTTATAAATAAGGCTTAATAAATAATGAACATACATACTATGTAGAATAAATAATTATATGCAAATGCAAGAATATTTTAAATCAATGAAAAAGCACAACACATATGATATATATAATATATCGCCCTTGTTTCTTACCTGCCATAACAGCGTTTTACCCAGTGGTGTCATTTTTGTGTGTTGAGTAGTATATGATAAATGTGATACATTTGCACTTAGTTTTGTCACTTTATTATAACGCCTTAACATCCCCTCCTCTTTCTTGTGGTTACAAACATTAAAACCCTCCTATTCATTAACTGAGTCAAATTACTTACCGATAGTACGAGAAGTAGACAAAAAAATTATTTGCAACTTTTCCAACTTTACCTCGAAAACCACTAACCAAATATTTCAAATTAACACAAACCACTTAATTTCCGCTGCTTGCAAGGAAAAATAAAAGCTTTAAGGGCGTACATTATTTTCCTCTCCAATGCTTGATTTGCCCTAGATTTGTATTTTAATTTATAATATGGTTTATTTTAGAATATTGCTTAATTCATTTGTCGACAGGATCAGTAGGTAAAACTTGTTCAGACTTGTTTGCAGACAGTGGATTTTTTGGGTTTATGGGCTGGTGATGGATCGGGTTCATTGTTTAGGGCTGATGGGGAAAAAAAATGAAAATAACTTAAAAATGAAAATAATTTTCCTTTAAGATATTTTATTATATATCATGAATAATTTATTTATTTATAAAATATTTTACCAGAAAAGATACATTGAGATTTCTCTCATTTTCAAGTATGTCCTGGGTCCACAAATCATTGCATTGTTACATTAGGGTACAATAAAATACAAAAACAATATTAATACACAATAAATACAAAATTTAACATGGAACAGTAGGAAATATATAATCAACCATGACAAGTGCATTCTGTTTTGAGGTATGTAGAGAGGGATCTCTTAAAGGACTTTAGGCTTAGTGAAGATTTTAAAGTGTGCGGGAGGTCGTTCCACAATTGTGGTGCTCTGTAGGAGAAGGAGGATCTGGCTGCTTCCTTTTTGTATTGAAGTAGACTAAATAAAGTGCTGGTACTGAATCGGAGGTCTTAGGAGGTGGTAACAACCGAGGAGAGCATTCTACTCAGGTAGGGCGGGAGCTTCCCAGAAAAGCTCTTAAACACAAGGCTGGAAAGATGAAGGGTGTGTCTGGATTCCAGCGACAGCCAGTTTAGTTCTTTTAGCATGTCACAATGGTGGGTCCTGTAATTATATTGTAGCACAAATTGGCAGAACGATAATCAGTGAAAGCACATTTCTAATTTAATAAAGCTTTTTTTGTGGAGGATTTTTGCGTCCATTTACTACAATTTGAGTTGATCTGGGTTTAACCACAATCTACTAATACAAAACAGTGGGCAAATTGGTTCTTCATTTAAATCAGGGGTTTACCCTCACCTTTAGGATGGCAAAGCATCCAGGGAGTTATAGTTACCAACTAAAACACCATCTGAAAAATGAAATGAACCTGGGTGGAGGAAATCTGACTAGGACTAGGTTTAAAATAGAAATAGAAAAAAAATCTAAGTAAATAATGAAGAACAATAAATTGTCTCCATGCCTAGGCACCCAATGCTCCAGTTTGCCAGCATACAGCTGAAGGACTCGGCACCATTTAAATGTCAATCAGTTACAAATGACACACTATGGAGCAGCAGATAAGAACCAACCTCAGTAGAAACATCAAGTCTCTATAAAGAGGAGCCGTGGAGCCCAGTCCTTATTGAAGTCAATGCTCCTTTTAACGATTCTGCAAAACATCTGTTTGTCCTGGGTTTAGCACGTTTAGCAACTTCTAACAGATGCCCTGCTTTTGCTGACACTGGTTCAGTGGGAAGAAGAGTATTTTTCAAAGTTTATATAAATGTCTTTATTATGTTTTTGTAATGAACATGCACTCCTTACTGGATCTCCACTTTATATGTCAACTATAAGAAAGTATTTTACAGCACTGTGTTATAGGTTGGGCATAAAGAACAGGTAACAGGCAGCTGAAACATGAAATGTGTGCATTCCAGTAGGAAGATCCAATGAACTGAGCGTAGAAGATTGGGTTACCTGGCATACCTCCACTGTCTCATACATACCCATTGATCGCAGACCAGTTCTCATGGCCCCACCAGTTCACGGTTTAGAGGTTTCACAATTGTTTTCAGAAATGGGATATTGCTTAATAATGGACCATGGAGATTAAAGTGAGGAGAATGCCTGCAAACTATTTGGAGACCACTTCCCTACAAGAACTTAGAGCATTTGCTTTATCTTGGTTCTGTGGAGCTCTATCCAATGCACATGGGTGTGTGTGGATCTGGGAACTGTAATAGCTCAGGATGTATATTTTATCCACAATATTCCAAGTCCCATACATGTTTGGGTGTTGACCCATGGATTCTTAACAACTTGAGGTATATGTATCAACTTGGCTATCAGGAACCTATACCCTGTAAGGTGAGGATTGACCATGCTGTCTGTAGGCACTCTAATTGGCTGGATGTATTTTACTAGGCAATTGAGATCATGAAGACCTGAAAACACCCAACATGAGAACTATTAACTGTCTTGGTGCATAATTATTTCTGTCCTTTGCATACTTTGCATACACACAACACTAAAATCACCTGCCTAATATCTTGTAGGTCTCGCTCGTGTTGCCAAACATAATACATTGAGGCATGGACTCCACAAGACCTCTGAATGTGTTGTGTGGTATCTGTGAATACCTTAGCAGCAGATCCTTTTATTTTGCAAGCTGCGAATCAGGGCCTCCATGGATTGGATTATGTTGTTCCAGCACATCCCAAAGATGCTCAATTGGATTAAGATCTATAAATTTTGAGTCCAAGGCAACACTTTGAACTCTTTGTCATGTTCCTCAAAAATTCTTGAACAATGTTTGCTGTGTTGCAGGGTCCATTATTCTTATGAAAGAGGATAGTGCCATCAGGTAACATCATTGCCATGAAGTAGTGTATGTGGTCTGCTACAATCTTTTGGTAGGTGGTATGTGTCAAAGTTAAATCCACATGGATACCAGGAACCAAGGATTCCCAGCAGAACATTGCCCAGATGGCAGGCTGTTGGAGGCACTGCCTCCAACAGCCTGCCATCTTCCTATAGTGCATCCTTCTGCCATCTCTTCCCCAGGTAAATGATGCATACGCACCCGGCCATCGACCTGATCTAAAAGAAAATGTGATTAATCAGACCAGACAACCTTCTTCCATTACTCCATGGTCCAGTTCTGACGCTCACCCTCCCCATTGAAGGCGGTGGACAAGGGTCATCATGGGAACTCTGATCGGTCTGCGACTGCACAGCCACATATTCAGCAAACTGTGATGCACTGTGTGTTCTGACACATATCTAACATGGCCAGCATTAATTCTTTCAGCAATTTCATCTACAGTAGCTCTTCTGTGTGATCGGTGCCCCCCAAGTGCACCCAAAAATCGGACTGTCCTGCTGAAATAGGGACAGTTGTGAGGCATGTGTTAGACCCTGTAGGTGTCTCCTGGGTGTAATTAAAGTGCAATTAACTTAGCAGGAGATAAGAACTTCTAAAGTAAACACACTGTGCTGTAAGATATGATTGATATATAAAAAGATTTTTGTCATGCAAGCTGAGTCACAACCAAGGGAGATGTGGCTAGGGCTGGATAAACAGAAACACAAGTTATCTAACTCCTAAATGGCAGAGAATGTAGCAGTGAGACTTCAGGGACATAATATATATAGAAAAATAGCTTCATTAAACTAAAGTTGTTTTAGTACGTAGAGTATAGTCAAGTTATTGCTTTATCCCAGATGTGCCAGGTCTGATAACTGGCTAATATTCACATGTAACCCATTTGGATAAAGACCTGTAGCCCTAGTACAATTGGTTTTACTGCACCCACACTGATGTTACACTGATGCTCCCTACACTTTCATCAGTCACCGGTGGTCGCTTGATGTGATGGTGTGAGGTGAGCCAGATGACTCCTGATATACCTACAAGGTTGAAACTGCAAAGTGTATAAATTAAGCCAATATCCTGTAAGACTATACTGTATTTACAAATTCTTCCAGAGCCGTTCAATGAAAAAATTGCCACCTTAATTCTTTTCTAAGTGTGTATCTAGATCCAGTATAACCTTCTTAAACATTCCGTTTAGTATCATGCAGTGCATTATTGATGTCTGCATCCATTTTAAAAGTGTCTGCAATCCCTCCTACACATTCTCAGAATGAATACGCCATTTGAGGGCTTATGGCCAATAAATAATTGTTTCGAGGTTTGCAGAATAAAAAGCTCTGAGATCAGACACTTGATAAGATGGATTGCAAAATACAATTTAGTTGCTGTCAACAACTTAATTTAAAAAAAAATGTTAGTTAATATATTTAAACATTAAAACAAAACAAATATTAAGCGTTGGTTATGCTTATAATTAGTAAATGGAGCAACCATACGAAAACCATAGCGTTTTAATTTCTATGATTAACAACTGTTGAAAGAGAAGTTCATCACATTCTATGGCTGTCCAGTCACAGACTTCCCAATGCAGCACATTGAAAAGTATTTGCAAGATAAGTGCTCTGGGCAATTACTGTCTCTTGAGTTTAGTTCCACTAAGCTAAGCAACCAGGAAGTAACAGGAACATTTGTTGACTGACAGCTGGGGGAGGAGGGGTTGAACTAGGTAGATTTTTAAAAGTGCTAATTTCTATTAAAGTCTGCACTTTAATACAAAAACAGCAAGCTAAAGTGCTTTAGGTGTTTTTCAATGTTCCTTTAATTTTGGATAAATTAGAATTTCTAGGCAAATAGGCAATTACTCCAATACTTCTAAATGGAAGTGAATGTTTTCTACAGAGCCATTTATGTGGACAGTTCTGTTTGAAATGAGCGTTATCTTGACCTTCCAGTACTGCAGGCACTTCAGCAGCGTAAAAAAACCACAGCTCAATGATTTGCTTTCAAAAGGTCCTTTGTCAATATATTTGGCAAGTACTTGAGTTACGTCTGTTATTTAGAACTAATCCCAGTGCTATTCAATTGTACTGCTTGCTGTTAGATACACTGATGTATTCAGTCACCTTTAGCACATGTAAAAATCTAGTAGAACCCTGATTACCTATGGGAT